GGCATGCAGGTAGATGTTATGACGTAGGCATCCGCTAAGAAAGGATTTTGATCAATTCTACCCCCAAGGGTAAAAATAGGGAATGAAAGTTTGTATGAAACTTTTTCAATTTTTAACCGATCGGGCTGAGACTTTGCATGCAGGTATAAGAAGAATCATAGATGAATGTCATTGTGTATAATACAAGCCTGAGAACAAAAACTGTAGCCTACACTTCAGTTCTACACCGAAGCGAAGCGAGGGCGGGCCGCTAGTTTTTGTATAAAAGTAAAGGGAGTAAAAAAAAATTGGATCAAAAAATTACCGGCAAGATGCACATTATTCAGAAATCAATATATATTTATTCCAATTGGATGTATAGTACAACTCTTTTGAATCGTCCAAAATTGTTTTTTCCCTACCACTCGTTATTGGACATATTTTTTAGCTGCGAAGAAAAACGAGCGAAAAATACTCCACAACTTTTTTTTTTAGCCCCAAAGTAAGCACTGTAAGGCGTGTGTTATGGAATACTAGGGTAACGGACAGAATACATATATAAGTATATTTACATAGAAATACATATTAAACATCCATGACTGGAGTACCAATGCTCGTATTCATCACACAAACAACTGCCCCCTCCGTTATTCGAACCTGGGACCTCTCGAGTAGGCGACACCATGAAACCCGGCGTACAAACCACTCGACCACTGAGGTCGTCATCAAAAGTATAATGTAACAACATTTACATATGAAATAATCTTTGACCATTGTTTGACTTAAATCCATTCTTGGAATTCGGTCCTCACATTTTGCATATTCAACTACCTCTAACGGCCGGTCTATCACACAAACGATGGATGTCTAATGAGTAATGACTTTTAACCTACCCTCTGAAGTACTTACGGATTTCCTCTAGATAATTTTTGGTCACCCATCCATTATAAGATCAAAAGAACTCTTATGAATAAGGGCTATTATAAAGTTGATGATTATCTGAATGATCGTAATGCATGATCATAGTGTTTCTTATAATTTGTTATTTAATAGGTATTAGTCATTTTTCATAACAGTAATATTGTACCTATCTAACGCCGCTTCCTATATAATCTCTTATTTATTAGACAAGTCCGTCCGTCCGTCTGTCTGTGGTGCTGTTTCAGCGGCCAAACCGTAAGAGATAGATAAAGAGAATGTTTAAGTTATAAGTTAAGAATAGTCTGATAAGACTACAAACCGGATTTGAGTAACGTAGCACTTCCGGTTTTCGAGAAATCACGAATTTCAAAGGAAACCACACAAAATCTCCGAAGTTCTCAATTAATTAAATACATTTTTTTTTAAATCAGATTTTGGTGAACATTTGGTTCACTGGTTTGCTAGTAAATATAATTGTTAACCATAAAATTTATTGTAACTATATATTTATATTCTAAATGATGTAATGGAAGGTGACTTCAGATGTATCTCTGAAGTCATTTTTCAACTTGACGACTCTGTATATAATACAGGGAGAAAAAAACAGCCCTTGCTAAGTTTCTTGCCGGTTCTTCTCAGTACAAGGTCATGACAAAATGACTTCAATATGAGATAACTCATGAAGTCACTTTCCATTACAAATGTAAATGATAAAACAATTATGACTATAAAATAAAAAATATAAAAAACAAATTTAAAAATAAAAAAAGTTTAGGAATGCCGTGTCCTACTGTTTAGGCATAAAAACAAATGTACCATTAAAGTTAAATACAACGATTAATAGTACCCAATGTAGCAAGAGCAGACTCATCTCCGCTGGCAGCTCCCGTTCCCGGCAGCACTTAGTCTTTTACCCGAATTCCTTTGGCAATCCTATTCAGGATAACGACAAGTGTATTTGAGCCATTAGTAATATCCTTATATAGATATTAGGAAATTACTGTTCCTTTCAGGTGCGATGCGGCTAGGGTTACCATATCTCAGGATTTGTCATGAGATTTCAGGATTTTTAAACTTTTCTCAGGATTGAAGCTGGATTTTGCAAATCTCCTGAAATCTCAGGATTTTTTGATTTTTCAATAAAATACAGCTAACGTTTTAAAGATCCGTTTAATAAAAACTTAAACAAACTAAAAATAATCTTCCTTTGATAATTACACAGTTAAAATCAGTACCTATTTATCCAAGTAGGTACTTGATCAGTTTTATCATCTATACTTATAATAAATCTGTAGAGAGGTCAATTCTGTACATGAAATATATTTTCAAAATAAGTATCAGGGGGTGATTAGTGATCGATACTGATGACAAAAATTCAATCAGTAAAATTTTTGTCTGTCTGTCTGTCTGTCTGTGTGTATGTTCTTATAGAATCAAAAACTACTCGACGGATTTTAACGAAACTTGGTACAATTATTCTTCATATTCTTGGGCAGGTTATAGTGTACTTTTCATCACGCTACAATCAATAGCAGCAGAGTAGTCAAGGGAAATGTTGGGAAAACGGGAGAAGTTACTCCATTTTTTAAGCTTCCGTCGCGTGTGCAGCCTTAATGGTTAAAGTTACATAGAAATCATGTATGACGGAAATATTCTACATAAAATTGTCTAAAAAATATCCCGCAACAGCATATGTCTATCTTTTATGGTTGACTCACAATAACACGTGTAATTATATAAATAAACTCATTGTTTATAGCACAAGCCTGAGAACAAAAACTATAGTTTACACTACAGCTCTACACCGAAGCAAAGCGAGGGCGGGCCACTAGTACTTAATAATTATGAGATGTGATATTATATGTGATGATACATTTTTAAGTGTTTTCTTTATAATTATGGATTTATAAAATGCCCCACACGTTAAGCTCTTGATTTCTCGAAAACCGGAAGTGCTACGTTACTTAAATCCGGTTTGTAGTCTTATCAGACTATTCTTAACTTATAACTTAAATATTCTCTTTATCTATCTCTTACGGTTTGGTCGCTGAAACAGCACCACAGACAGACGGACTTGTCTAATAGATAAGAGATTAAAAGTATAAACAGCATGTATATAAACGATAATATTAAGACTTTACTAAATTGTTAATCAATAAATGGCTACTCAATAAAGACCACACGCCCCGATCGGGGCGCGCTCGATAAATACCGCACGGTCGATCAGCGCACGCCCCGATCGGGGCGCGCTCGATAAATACCGCACGGTCGATCAGCGCACGCCCCGATCGGGGCGCGCTCGATAAATACCGCACGGTCGATCAGCGCACGCCCCGATCGGGGCGCGCTCGATAAATACCGCACGGTCGATCAGCGCACGCCCCGATCGGGGCGCGCTACCCACGGTACTATAAAGCCGTTTTTTGTGATAGTTATAGCCTACTTTTGTGTTAAAAAGTTTAACCATAGATTAACTTGGCGAAATGACCTATATATAGAGCCGTAAAGTTTAAATAGCCCGCATGAATTTAATGTTTAAAACCCCAAGCAGTGTACGTTTGAGAGAAAATTCTCAAACTAAAAATCTCAGGATTATTCAATGGAAATCAAGTCTTTTCTCCGGACTTTTGATTTTTTCATCTGGTAACCCTAGATGCGGCACCGCCTTTCTATTTTAGGGATATGATAATGCAATTAGCATATTATAACGACACGATGGATGAGGATCCATCGCATACTGCTCTCACTCTCTTTAGTTTCGCCATTTTTACGTTGCGGAGGAATATATTGAAGTTTTCATAATTTTTCACAGGGAGTCCTGCTTATGTCGCGGGCTTTTAATATGCATCTCTTATCTATTAGACGAGTCCGTCTGTCCGTGGTGCTGTTTCAGCGGCCAAACCGTAAGAGATAGATAAAGAGAATATTTAAGTTATAAGTTAAGAATAGTCTGATAAGACTACAAACCGAATTTGAGTAACGTAGCACTTCCGGTTTTCGAGAAATCACGAATTTCAAAGGAAACCACACAAAATCTCCGAAGTTCTCAATTAATTAAATACATTTTTTTTAAATCAGGTTTTGGTGAATATTTGGTTCACTGGTTTGCTAGTTCTTGTATATATGCTGTCTAGTAATATATATCATCATCAGCTTATTAATGTCCCCACTGCTGGGGCACAGGCTTTCCCTATGGATGGAATAGGGAGATTGGGCCATGACCCACCACGCGTGGCTAGTGCGGATTGGCAAGTGTTATGACTGCAGATGCAGCCGGGACGAATGGCTTAACGTGCCTTCCGAAGCACGGAGGAACTCGGGATAGAAGATTTTTGGTCACCCATCCAATGACCGACCACTGCAAAAGTTGCTTAACTCATCACAGCAGTTGATCGCAGCCGAACGCTCTAACCACCCGCGCCATCGAGCTCCTCAGTTACTTACATAAATGGGGTAGAATTAATGTCAAGAAATATTTAAGGAAAATTATTCCCGTTTTGATGAAACTAGTTCAATACAAATGATGTGATTGGAAGAACCATAATATTAAAAACTTTTTTATAAATACCAAGCTTTAAAACAGCTAAAATAACTGTTCAATTTTATTTGGCACAGGGCTTGAAACCGGTTTCGAAAATACCGGTAAACAAAGGTTAATACCGGTTTTTAGTAAAGGTTTCGTTCAGAGTGCGTCCGAAATGAAAGCGGTACCTAAAACCTTAATAAACCGGTTTAATCCAGAGCGACACGTGCACGCGTCGGCATCGATTGAAGTTTGTTTTGTTTGAACTAATCAAGTCACAACTTGTTAATGCTCAGAGATTGATGCATTTGTTGACACGATTGCTAGCGTCTAGTGAGTCAAGTTATTCATTTATTATCGATGCCGTCAGAAAGAGCGAAATGAAACCCTTTAAAAACCGCAAAATTGATACAAAACCTATTTGATTTCGCTCTTTAGGAAAACCGGTTTTTTAAGGTTAAGGTAGAGCCAAACCTAAATAAAATGCTCCTTATGTACTTGACACTGATTTAGGTTTCAAAATTAACCGGTAAACAAGCCCTGATTTGGCATGTATAAAAAGGAAGTTTTGTTCAAGGATATCGGGTACAGCGGCATCGATTTGACGGAGAATCTGCGGCCCCCCAAAGCTTTATACATGGAGGTTGTGTGCGCCGCGGATTACGGCAAGCTGGAGCTGTCAGACGGAGACGTGGTGATGTTGCGAAAAAACAGCCGCCACTTCCTACCTGCCGCTGAGTGCCAGACGCTGGTGCGGCAGGGGGTGCTTAAACAGATCTTATGATGTACCAATAAAGTTATGTCTTATTTACGTTGTGTTTTGTTTTGAATAATCGGATCCCAGTACCATCTAGGTCGTAGCTTAATGACTTTAAGCTGGAGACTGACTAAGTAGTAACATTTCGGTGTTTATGTAAATAGGGTATTTGACAAGTTTTAGAAAACGATCTCACATTATTGACTAATGTTTATGGAGTCCGTAAAAAGTGGACATTCATCATTCTGTTGTGTATTTCAGTGAAAATGACCAAATCAAAAACTCCATTTTCATGTTGCCGCGAAAACGTTTCTCTGGACAATATGGCGTTGTACTAGTGTGTGACGTCACACGACTGTTATGAAAACGTCAAACGATACAATGTAATGTCACTTTAACCGGAAGTTTACTTGCGTGTGACGTCATTTTAGGCTCCTCCAATCCCAAGCGTTTTGGTTCACGTGACAATAGATAAGAAAACTATTATCTTTTTCGTTAGTTTTTAGTAAAATCATGAATATATTTTTTGTAAAAATAGTAAAACCCCTGTCAATATTCATTCTAAACACAGATGCTAACAATTGGCACTTTATTTTTAACACTGTCAAATACCCTATTGTTTGTGTCATCATCATCATCATCAGCCTATTAATGTCTCCACTGCTGTGGCACAGGCCTTCCCTATGGATGGAATAGGGAGACAGGACCATGACCCACCACGTGGGCCAAGTGCGGATTGGCGGGTGCAAACCTTAGATTAAAACAAAAAGGGTAGATACGGCACTAGTCTCACAAAAGTGATCCGCATGAATTGTGGTCCACGACCCTAATCGCTTTAGTCACAACTTGACATGCAAACGACGTACATGTGAACGCCAAAAAGAAATATTGCTAATATTTTGTGTTTAAATGATAAAACAATGCTTACTTAAGTGTGTTTTTAAAAAGTGCTGAAATTGCTCAAAAAACTAAAAATAAAACCCACGGCATCACTTTTCATTCGTAAGTACTATAAAATATATTTTTTCATAAAAATTGCTGTTTGTTTTGAATATTATTCGGTAGTGACGTCGAGTACTGGTCGCGTGATTGGTCGATAGTGCAGTGACGCGGATCTCGCCGTCCCGTTCGCGCTCCCGTTGAAACTTAACGTGCTGTTTCGTTCGGGTCGGTAATGCAGTGACGCGGATCTCGCCGTCCCGTTCGCGCTGCCGCCGTGGGATCAGTTTTTGTTTGATGCAAGTATGAGCGTACCGTATCTACCCTTTTTATTTTAATGTAAGGTGCTAACGACTGCAGATGCAGCCGGGACCAACGGCTTAACGTGCCTTCCAAAGGAGGGATTCGATATAGAAGATTTTTGGTCACCCATCCAATGACCGACCACTGCGAAAGTTGCTTAACTTCAACGATCGCAGCCGAACGCGCTAACCACCCGCGCCATCGATCTCCTCTTTGTTTGTATAATAAAACACAAAGACTCACATGTAACACGTGGTGCACTAGACTGTTGTTTTCTTCGCGAATCCCTTTTAAATTCTTTACATTCAGAAGGGAACACATTTTTTGAACACAAACTAACTCTGAACTCGTATAATGTAACATATTACCACAGTTTTGTAAGTAAAAGCATCAGGATATACTCATTTAAGATTAGGTTTAGGTTTTAAATATCCATTACAGGTGGTGCCGTGACTAGCGTACTGGCATGATGCCTTATTTAGATTAGCTTTAGGAACTGCTTATTAATTTCAAATGGTGCTTACATTAAAATAAGCCTAGCCACAAAGTAAGTACTTTCTGTACCATCGATTTGGGGTACTGTCGATATAGTGTACTATCGATTTGGTGTATAATGCGATTCAACTAAGAATAGGACCGACTGGGCGCCATATTGTGACGTCATAGCTGTCAATTCAAACCAAATAGGTAGAGTAAGCAAAAAAAAAGTTTTTATTTAATAAAACTTATTTACTAAGATTGAAATAACATCAGATTTTTTAGTAAAATTTATTTACTAAGATTGAGAACAAGAAACAACCGATTTTTAATAATATTTATTTATTAATACTGTGTGAGAAAAAACATTAATCAGAATGTAGCTCTTCAATTCCGCTCATCTCTGCATTACCGCCGGAGTAGTAATGAATAGTCATGCACTATTACGAGGTCACATACGAACATGTATCTTTTATGTAAACGAAAGTTTGAAATCGAGTTTCTGAACGCAACTTAAAGTTAGACATTTAGGTTATGAATCATTCATAGCCAAAGCTCAATAAATGAAAAAAAAATTAACCATTATTAATTATTAATATTTGTTATTGTTTGTTTACAAATGTTTGGTTTTTATTCTAGAATTAGCAGAGTGCTAAAAAAGGGTTTCTAAGATTATTACGCAAACCGTACTTTTCAAGCGACATTTGACAGATGGAATGGAGGTCATTGGCTTTCCTATTCTTATTTGAATCGCACTATTCTGTCGATTCATTAGCCCGTCGATGGAGCTTTTTCGATACAGCGACTGTAGATGCAGTGACTGTCGAATGAACCAAACCCAGTTTCACCAGGTGTGCTTAGAACCTGGATAGATTTTATATTACACCAAACACCAGTATATCTACTAATATATACTAATATTATAAAGCTGCAGAGTTTGTTTGAACTCGCTAATCTCTGGAAGTACTGGTCCGATTTGAATGATTCTTTCAGTGTTGGGTAGTCCATTTATCGAGGAAGGCTATAGGCTATATATTTTTTTCAAAATTAGGGATCCGTAATAGAATTGCTATTTTGTAACACAAGGTGTAAAATCGAAAACCTATTTTTGCGTGCGCTGCAAAAACTATTGACAATAGAACAAAATGATGTACTACGGGTTTGTAGATCCCATTCAGACCTACAAAAAAGTCCGCGAGAACATATATCTAGCTATCATGGTTTAATCACAATAACCGATTTTGTGTTCAAAATAATTATTAAATCGTCTGAAGAAAAAAAAACTCCGTTAAATATGTATCGTAATATTAATCTTTATCGAAATTAAGCATTATGTTATCAAGAGTATTTATGTTGAAGTAAAATACTTTTTGTTTCATCTCAATCTGATATTTCGTTTAAAAGTTATCACGTGTGTAAGATGTTAAGAGTTGGTACCTATTAATGAGTTATGGGCCATAGAGTTTTTTATCAACATAAAATCCTGTAATAATCGTTTCCGAAATATATTTGTTGATGATTGTAAACGTGGGTGAAACCGCGGGGCACGGCTAGTCTCTTGATAAAAATGTTTGCAATACTAACTTAGAACAATTTGGTTTTACCAACGATATAATGTGTTTTGTATTCTAATACGTACTCCTGCGCGGGATTTTTAGTAAATCTAAGTACTTTTAGATTACGTATGCATACATACATAATATTGTATTTGTGTTGAAGAAGGGGCGCCCCCTTACACAACTATACAGAACTAATACTTATAAATAAAACATTCAAATAGGTAAAACCATGATAAAAATGTTTTATCATCCATTCGTTTTTATCTGCTAGGGATATTTCTTTAAAGAAAGCCCACTTTCTCCTAATTTCCAATTTCCATTTTAAAAAAGTCAGTATCCACTAAGTGAAGATTGGTGAATGCTAACGAAAGATACAGCTGGAAGCTAGATCCAACTACTTAACGTGACTTTTGAAGCACGGCGGACTGTGTGGGGCTAGGATAAGTATCCTATATGTTTTTGTTCACCCATCCAATGACTGGCCATGACGGGGTACGGTAAACGAAATTCTATTTAGTCCGTGAGTTAGATGATCAAAAAATAATGGACACGTATTTTTTCTTTGGGCAATCAACTAAAAAATGACAAAGTTATAGTGCGTCAAAGTTTGAGAGTAGGGGCTCGTGACGTCACTTTTGAGTGAATTTTCACTTATAAGTGTACTCAAACGTGACGTCATGCGACTTTTCAAATCAATATATATCTGCAATGTTTATATAATGTAAAAAAAGAAAAAATACGTGTCCAATACTTTTTGATAATCTACCTGCTAAACGAAGAAAAAAAAAATTGTCATCATCCCTATTGTCTCATTACCACATAAGCAGAGTTTGTACTGTGGAAATTTATTAACTTAAAATTATAAAAAAAACTGAATCTGGAAAAAATATAAATGTGTTCATGAGACACATAGATACAGACAAAATAAATATTCCCTCTTCCTGGTATTCGAACGACCTAGGGAGCAAAAACCTGCCTTTTGCTTTTTTATCGTTGTCTACATCAAGATTGAAGGAGATAGATTAGGCTTTACGTTATTTATTCTTCTTATATTTGCAACAGCGACAAAAAAATCTGGCTGTCTGAAAACCTAAATAGGTTACTATACCTATATTTACAAATGTAAATATATACATAGGTATTATTGGTACTTAAGAAACCATATTTCGGCGGCGATACCGCAAGCAATCGCTTAAATAATAATCTATTCTTACGATGCAGATCTGAAAAGGCTGCGAAACGTCAATAAATAAATAAAGTTTCGTGCATTAACCCGTTAAAACTAGTTTTATTTAATGAGTGATGTGCGTGAAAACCTAAGAAACAAATAATAATCTGTTATATTGTGTTGCATTTTCAAACAGTTGAATTCGTGAATTTTCCGCCTTGAGTTAACAGCTAGTCAGCGACCCTGCCCTGGAGTATTATTTTATATTACACTAGTGGCCCGCCCTCGCTTCGCTTCGGTGTAGAGCTGTAGTGTAAACTATAGTTTTTGTTCTCAGGCTTGTGCTATAAACAATGACTTTATTTATATAATTACACGTGTTATTGTGAGTCAACCATAAAAGATAGACATATGCTGTTGCGGGATATTTTTTAGACAATTTTATGTAGAATATTTCCGTCATACATGATTTCTATGTAACTTTAACCATTAAGGCTGCACACGCGACGGAAGCTTAAAAAATGGAGTAACTTCTCCCGTTTTCCCAACATTTCCCTTCACTACTCTGCTGCTATTGATTGTAGCGTGATGAAAAGTATACTATAACCTGCCCAGGAGTATGAAGAATAATTGTACCAAGTTTCGTTGAAATCCGTTGAGTAGTTTTTGTTTCTATAAGGAACATACACACAGACAGACAGACAGACAGAC